GATGTTTGACTCATTAACACTTATTGGCCTCAATCCTCGGACTTCTCCAACAAGTGGTATCAGAGTCCTGATTGACTCGGTGGAGAAACGAAAGTAAATTTTAGTGTGAATCAAGACTAGTGATGTGAGTAAGTTACACTTGCGCGAAAGATTGTTGGATTTCAAATGTGAAAGTGCTAAAATCACACATTTATTAGAAACGAAGGTTTTGCCTCATTGACACTTCTAAACTCTTTTGGGTAGATATGTGACATCAACTCTTTTGTAACCATAACATTTGGCTCATTGGCACTTCTGAATCTCGCTCTCATTATGCATATCACCCAACAAGTAATATAATAAATTATTAAGATTTTTGATATAAAAGACAAGAAAAATGATTCATTTGTAGAATAAAATATTTTCAAAAGATGACTTTTTAAAATTTTTTAATATAATATTAATTATTTTTTTCAATTTGACCTTTTTAATTATTCTTCACTCAAATTATTTTTGAGACTTTTGATTTTTAACCAAAGTAGTTAATCTTTTGTAGAGAGGGAAAAAGTGAATGCATATCAATGTGGTGTAACTTAAAATAATGAATGTAGTTTTTAAAAAGACTTATTTTATCATCTAAAAAAATAACTGCACAGCTTGTTGATAATTTGTTAGGTATTTTATGTATAATTTTGATTATATTAATAAAAAAATTTAATTACTTTTTACAATTTTCAATATTTAATATGAAATATTTCAATAAAAGTATTATTCTTTCATTTATTTATATATATTTTTAATACATTATTAACTGAATCATTAGTTATAAGATAAGAAAAGTAAATAAATAAAACGCTTTAAACAATACAATATATGAAGAAAAAATTGATGTATGAGAACATATAACACCCATAACCAAAATAAATAATCTCACATCTCCAATATCTTTTTTGTTGATTTTTCTATAATTTTTTGATGTTTTAATTTTCTAACAATCTCAACAAAAACTCTCTCTCTCTCATGACTCATGATTTTAACATATTTAAAAAAAGGCCATATAGGGTAAATGAAAGGCATATAGGGTATGGCATGATTGTTGTCACCAAGACCATTTTTGGCATTTTTGGTTTTGATGTATATCTCCATATGAAAAAGCCTGAAACAAGGGTTGATGATAAAGTTGTTCACTTTATTTGATTTGATTTGAGGTTTTGGTTATTGTGAATTGTGATCATAACTCATGCCACAATTTACTGTTGTCATGATTTTGTTGAAACAATCGTCTTCATCATCAATCTGTGGGCCACCTCATGGGTTTACTAATAGGGCCCATTTCTTTGCGTCATGTCAGTTTCTCTGCAATATATATATTTTTAAATTATATATCAAGATAAACTCCACGAGTGTTTTGATTTTTAAATGATAAAATGTAAGAAAATAATAATGTTTCAGGTCGATTTTGTGCCATGACTTGAGTACAATCACCACAAGTTTTAAATTATTATTTGGGCCCACAAATATTAAATACTTACTAGTATTGAATATTTATGTAGAATTTTTTCCTCCTTATCAAGTATATATTGAGTTCGAATTATCTTCTTATAAATACTTTATTTTAGTACATAAATATATCAAATGTAAACTAAGAAACTCAAATGAAATGATGTAAATTTGTTTTCTAATAGAAAATAAATGAAATGATACTGTTTTTGTTGAATCCTAATAGTATTACTAGTAACATGTTCCATCTAGAGAGTTGATGGAATTTGATGCCGCATATATAAAAGAATCTTTTTGAAATACTGACACACACAAAACTATCATTGGTATGGCAGAACACACAAACGTTTGCTCATATTTGTAGGTCATACTTAAACTTCTTCCTGTGCCTTCTCTCACTCTCTTACACTTTTTTTTTTACTTTTTTTTTTTTTTTAATTTTTTGGGTGTGGGCCAAACCTGAAAGGAAAACATCAACAAACAACCTAAGGAAGGTACTGGTTGAAACCGAGAGAATTCTAAACCATAACTTTTTGTTTTTGTTTTTTATATAATATCTTTTTATTAATTTTATATGATTTTTTAGCATTATTTTATTGTATCTATTCATATAAAAATGTGCGTATGGATATGTATTAAAAATGTGCTTTCAACTCTAAATTATTGTATAGTGTAGTTTTTCTTTATTTCATTAAAAAAAAATTCAATTCCTAACTCTTAAAGAAAATAAGTGTGAGTTAGAAAGGTAGAATGTGAGATAGAAATCTCATATTAATTAAAAAAATGAGATTGAATATTTTATGAATTAAAGAACTTATACACCCATCATTTTAAAATTTTGAATCAGGACGTGGTATGTCTTTCATAAGGTAAGGTCTTATAAATAAATACTTCAATATAAAAATTATTCCTTCATGTTAACACTTAAGAAATTTGATGCCAAAAGTGGTATTAGAGCTTTATTGGCTCGGTGGGGAGCGAAGTGATTACTGTTAAATTTGTAAATATTTTTTGTTAAGCGTGTTTGTAAAATGCGTGTTAAGCATGTTTGTAAAATGCAGGACTCGATAGAGTTAAAGTTAGATGTATTTGATAGAGTAGTAGTCGAATATAGTTTATTATAGTTGAATCTAGATGTATTCAACAAAGATATGAATACAATTAGTTGTATTAAAGCATCAAGTATTCGACAGAGTTGAATAACAACTTGTTGAAGTTAGTTAGTCAGTTTGAGACTTTGAGATGTGCAAGCAATTTCATTTGTAAGTAGTACAATATTCATTCAATTCAATACTTTCTTCTTCCCTTCTCCAAAACCCTGAATTCTCTCTTTCTCTCTCTTTTTCTCTAAAAATTATCTCCTCTATTCAAATCATTGTGCGAGGGAATCATATTGCAACAAAAGTGTGGTTGAATCACTCGAGTGCATAGTAAAGAACAAGAATCTCAGATCAATCAAGAAAGTGATTGAATCTTGTTCTATCAACATCGATTCTAACATTTGGTATCAGAGTCTGGTTGTGATTCTTGGGAAGCATAGAGCAACGACTTTTCATCCAAACAAGCATTTTCCACCAAATCGTCTCATCTTGAATGGCAAGAACTATGATAATTGGTGTAAGCAGATGAAGGTTGTCTTATGTTATCAAGACGTTTAGAATCTTGTAAAGAATGGAGTAAAACCAATTAGCGAGAATGCTACAAATGAACAAAATATTGCACATAAAGATTTGAAGAAGAAAGATTATAGAGCTCTCTTTATAATTCATCAATGCATTGATCCAGACGACTTTGAGAAAGTCGAAGAAGTATACTCATCGAAAAAAGCATGAGACATCCTGAAGAAATCTTTTGGAGGTGCTGAGAAGGTGAAAGAAACGAGGTTACAAACTCAAAAAAGAATGTATGAATTGCTTCAGATGGAAGAAAGTGAAAGTGTTGCTGATTTCTTCACTGGGGGTAACAAGACTGGTGAATCAAACCAAGATGTGTGGAGAAGTGTTGACATCAACACTACTACAAAACGCGCAAACAACAACGTCAGGTTTACAACGGATTCATATACATCATTGTAATAGGTTAAAAAATTTGCGCCCAGTGTGTAGCTGGATTTATAAACAATAATTTAATGACAGTTGTCTTAAAAAACTGTAGTAATAAATGATGTGTAGCAAGCTTTGATTCCCAATAACTACATTTTTTAGAGTACATTAAGCGTGTGTTACTTAATTCCATTATTTAAAAAATAAATTGTAAATGATTTTACAACGGTGAAGTAAACCAACCGTTGTTAGAGGATATTAAGTGTGTGTCATTTAAGTCCATTATTTAAAAAATAAATTGTAAATGATTTTAAAACGGTGAAGTAAACCAACTGTTATTAGAGGACTTACAATTCCACTACAGTTGGATTGTTCAACCGCGATTAAAGGGTTTACTGATAAATTAAAACAAAACTTATTATGTATTTCTTTCATAAGACGCCTTATGGGAACAAGTGAGCCAAAGACGACAGCGGTGGCGTAATCTTTACCCTCTTCGTATCCATTCATTTGGAGCTCAAATCTTCACCCTCTTTGTTCATTTGATTCTTCAGCTTCGAAGTACGGTAGTCTTTTGTATCTTGATTCCTTACATGGATAAGATTCATCAGCTTCGAAGTACGGTATTCTTCTACATCTTCATTCCTTTTTTCTTTGCTTATGTTGTATATGCTCAAGTCAGTATGAGATTACATGTTTCATATGCTTTAGGTTTAGATTTGCATATGCATATGCTTAAGTTTTTGGATTAGGTTTTGGTATGTCATTCACATTATTATACTTGTATAAATTTCAGAAGTTGTTATGGATCGTAGTTGGATGAAAAAGTCGATAGATTAAGAATGATTTATGAGAACGGAGTTCTTGAATTTCTTGAATACGTTGATAAACATCTTCCCAACAACAATGGTATCTTTTATTGTCCTTGTGTTGTTTGCACAGATATCAAAAAGGGTACAAAGAAAGAAATATTCCATCACCTTTGTTATGATGGTATATGTCAAAATTATATAATATGGACGTGGCATGGTGAGGTGGATAAAGAGGAAAGTCTGACGTCACAAAGTCAAAGAGTGGATGAATATGAATATATGGAAGATCAACTAGAGGATATGCTCCGTGATATTGGGGAATCTTCTTTTAAGAATGATCATATTTATGATACTTTATATAGTGATAAAGACACACCTTTATATAAGGGATGCACAGATTTTACACGATTGTCGATGGTGTTAAAGTTGTTTAATCTGAAGGCAAAAAAATGGATGGTCGGATAAAAGTTTCACGAAATTACTTGAATTGCTAGAGAAAATGTTACCAGAAGATAACAAATCGTTGGATCGTTACTATGAGGTTTACTTACTTGTTCATCTAGTAAGAGAAATCAGAATTTGTGGTCCAGTTTATTTAAGGTGAATGTATCCAATAAAGCGATATATGAAGATATTTAAAGGATATATGAAGATATTTAAAGGATATATGAAGATTCATCACCGACCGGAAGCTTCCATTTTTGAAAGGTACATCACAAAAGAAGTTGTTGAATTTTATACAAACTATTTGTCAGACGCAAATTCTATAGGAATTCCAAAGTCTCGTCATACTGACATAGACGAAAGAGGTATTCAAGGTATAAATGTTAAGTCAATGGCTCAGGATGTAGTTATTCAAGCATATTTCTATATAATGAATAATATAGATGAAGTTCAACCTTTCATAGATACTCACAAAATATTTTTGAGGGAAAAATATCCCCGAATGAGTGACAAGTTGTTGTTGATAGAACATAACAAGAGATTCATAGATTGGTTTAATAAAAGTGTATCTAATGATCGTAGTGCATCCGAGATACTAAAATGGTTGTTGTACGAGCCAAAATTTTGTGTCATTACTTGGACTGCATACGACATTGGTCATTATACCTTTTATATAAAATCAAAAGATGATCGTAGTACAATGCAAAATAGTGGGGTTATGGTTGAAGACGAATCAATGTATTTCTCTAGTTCGAAAGATAAGAATATTGTATTGGCAACTACCACGTTTTATGGTGTCATTGATGAGATTTGGGAAATTAATCATGTTATTTTCAAAGTGGCTTTATTTAAATGCAAGTGGATTCCCAATAATCGTAATGGTGTACACATTGATGACTTAGGATTCACCCAGGTCGACCTTGGAAAGACATCTTTAATGACTGAACCATTCATTGTGGCTTCTCAAGCAAACCAAGTTTTCTATGCTACCGACCCATCAGACATATCGGAGAAATGGTCAATCATTCTCCAAAGAAAACACATTCCTCTTAGTGATGAAAGTCTTGATATTCCGTCCACACCTTCTTACACAACACAAGTTACTACCTCATATGGTGAAGTTGATGGAGATGTTGTACATGCTATTCGAATCGATCATGAAGAAGGCATATGAGAAAATTAATAAGTACATAATTTATTCTTTATTCATAATATATTAATTGTATGTTATAGTTTCTAAGTATTTTTACTAACAAGTTTTTGCTCATATTTTAAAGTCATACTTTAACTTCTTCCTATGCCTTCTCTCACTTTCTTACACTTTCTTTTTACTTTACTTTTTAAAAATTTTGGGTGTGGGCCAAACCTAAAAGGAAAACATCAACAAAAAAGTTAAGGAAGGTACTGGTTGAAATTGAGAGAATTATAAATCATAACTTTTTGTTTTTATTTTTTTTATCTAATATCTTTTTATTAATTTTGTTCTGGTCTGGGCCCAATCTCGCGGTCCAGCCCAATAACGCGCAAGGCCCAGTAAGCCGAATAGCCCGACCGGGCTCACACTCCCCCATTGGTCGAGCAGGATACGCCCCCTGCCAAGCGGGACGGCACACCTCGAAGCGTCCTCGGCGTTCCCCTTAGCCGGGCCAAACAACTTCCCCGGGCAGAATCCCCTTGCCAACGGGCATGGCGATTCGCCTTCTCCGCTCTCGTATGCTTTTCCTCGGGGAGCCACACACCGTCCAGGAATCCCACGAGCTCACCTCCGCGGGGAGAACCTCGCGCCCCCAAGGAGTCCCACGCCCTCCCCTCCGTGGGGAGAACAACGTGCCTTGTGCGCGGTCTCCACGTGCTCCCCTCCGCGGGGACACGTCACCAACCAACTGCCCACCTCCGAAAGAGCAGGTCAAACCCACTTTCCGGAGACCACGGGACAGTTGGACTAGGGCGAATACCACGTCCTGGTCTTCACTACGCCATGTAAGCCCTAGCAGTCACCTGAGTTGGGCCTGGCCATCCATCCCAACACAAGTGACCGTTGGCCCAGCGCTGGGGTCTCTCTATAAATACCCTCTTCCTCAAGAGGGTCGCGTAATCACTTCTTACCACACTTTCTGTACTTTGCTCTCACTCTGCCCAATTCCTTACTTTGGCATCAGAGTGTCTTGCAGGTACACCCCCCCTTTTTTCCTCCTCATCACCGGTGAACAGGTAGCAGTCTAACAGCGTGTGGCCAGCCCGTGATCCCCTTCTGATCAGGTCAGATCAGTGGCGCTGTCTGTGGGAACAGAAACTTCCCCGTTACTCTGAGCAGAAAACCAAAGTTTCACCAGCACTCCACGGTCATGGATAGCCCACATCACGATGATACCATGCACGACTTCGCGCTCAACATCGCCACCAACGGAAGCAAGCAGATGGAAACGTCACGTCCGGCGGAGACCGACGAGCGAGATGGCCAGACCGCCTCACCTTCATCCGCAGATCCGCTGCGCCAGGCCGACCACCGGCCCCCGAGCCCAGCAACGTTCCAACCCGTTCCTATCTATTGCACCCTAAAATTTGACCAACCGGTGCCACTTTCGGTTTATGCTTCGACGCATTTTCGCATTCACATTTGCATACTGCATATAGTGCATTTCCTCAATCATGGTGATTTTATCGGGATTACAGCCCTGTTATCGCATTTCGGGTATTTTAGACCGGTTCGGGTAATCGGAATTTATTTTGAGAAGTCGCGCGCTTCCTGGGTGTTTTCAGTACGCAGTGATTTTGGAGGTTCTTGGTGTCGGGGTTTACTGTTTTGCTTCGATCTGGTCTCGCGCTCTCTTTTATATTGGTTATTTGCCTTTGTCTGCATTTTTTTAGGATTTAATAGCCTTTTGTGGATTTTAGATAGGCTTTTTAGATTTTCTAGAATTTAAATAGATTTTTTTATATTTTTAATAGCTTTAAATCATTTTTAGAGTTTATAGAGTTTTTTTAGTTTTAATAGTTTTTAATATAATGATAGGTTTTCTCTTTTATAGAAATTAATAGATTTTTCTTTTAGAATTTACTAGGTTTTAATAGATTTAATATAGATTTTATTTTTAATGTAGAAATTAAATAGTTTTATTAGAAATAAGTAGGTTTCATTTTTTTAATAGGATAAATAAATAGATATAGTTTTTCTTTTATATAGATGTAATTAGATTGGATATTAATAGTTTTCTTAAATGTTAAATAGATCTTTTTAGAGTTAACTAGAAGATTTTTGGTTTGAATTGGATTTAATTAGGATAATTGTTTAGATTTATTAGTTTTAATTGATTTGGTATTTATTAGCATTTAATCAGGTCATTAGCAGTATTTGCACTTCCATTAATTCACGTTAACTCATTAGTCAGCATTAACTGTCATTAGCCCATTTAATTTTCGTTATTAGCCATTAATCCATTAGTTAATTCATCATCTATCTGGTCCATTTCATTCATTTAGTGCCTTAATTCAGCCTTATTGCAAATTCGTTGGGCCCAGAGTATTGGAGGCCCAGTCTAAGTCCATATGCCAAGTGTCATATAAGTAGGACGCCACGCATATCATCATAAAGGGAGCCACATCACAATTCCCACTTCACCCAGAATTCAGCCACGCGTAATCCACTTTCTCCTAACCCTACCACGTGGCCTTCATGCACTCCATCTCCCTGACACCTGTTCGCTCCTCCTCCCTCACCGGATGCATGGCCGCCGGTCATGCAACCACCGTAACCCCCAACCGCCGGCAGCCGTAACCAACCCGTAACCTACTCCGTCCACCACAACTGTTCGCCGGAAAACCCAAACTTCGCCTGAAAACTGAAAAACTCAGCAATCTTCATCCTTTCTCCCGATCTTCATCTTCCTCCTCTGGTCAACATCATCAGATTCACCAGAACGCTCATCATCTTCATCCATCTCCAGATGCCTTCGTCAAGAACTTCATGTGTTCTTCGCATATTTCCAGAAAGCCTTCAAAGTTTGTACGAATCTTCATAGTTTTCCAAGCTCCGCACCAGAAAATCCATGGTGAATATCCAGATCATCAAGAAACCGCCAAGAGCTTCATGTGTTCTTCAATCGTTCTTCCTCCAGAAATTCAAGAACCTGCTTCAAGATCTTCGTCCAGAAACTCGTTAATGTTCTCAGACAACTCCGATAATCATCCGATCATCACCAATGATCTTCTCAAATCTGCTCGCATGAAGAACATTCATCATTAAATCTCCAGATCCTTCATGACGTTCCCAGAACCTTCAAGATTTCTTCAAGAACCGCATGCAATCATCATCAGATTCATAGATCTCCAACAATCGCCATCGGGAACCATTTTTTCCAGAAATCGTTCTTCTCCGATCAACCTTCATCAACAATCTTCATCGTTTCTTCAACGTTTCCAGAATTTCCTCAAGAACATTCGTCTTCTCCGATCTAGATTTCCCAGGACATCGTTCATCATCCTTCACCAATATCTCCAGTAACATCATCCGAGCTTCATCGCATGCAAGACCTTCATCGGATCTTCATGATCTCTAAGCTGATGATCAAATATATTCCAGATTTGTATTACTTGCGAAAGTTGAGTGAGGAGGGAATGGTGATGAGGTTGAATGATTTGAGCGGAGATGTTTTAGAAAGATTGAGAGAGGAATAATCTGAAGGGAGAACGGGGACGAAAGAGTGAGGTTGAGAAAGAGATTGAGTGAGAGAGGTTGAGGGCGGCGCAAGAAGGGCGTGTGAACAGTGAAAAGAAGAGGAAGAAGAGGAACTAGGTTTTCTGAAAGTGGAACGAGAGAAAAGGTGGATCGCGTGTGGACTGGGCCTTGGGCCCAGAGGCTTCGATTCAGTCCGTACACCCCCCGTTTTTTTTCCAATTCCCTACACCCCGTCCGTTTTTGTTTGTTATGGATTGGGCTGGGCCAACAGATGTTATCAACGCCTCCGTTTTTCTCAACTCACCCCCCCCCCTGGGTTCTTTGTTTTTTTTCTGAATTACTTATGGGCTGGGCCCAGTTTTGTATTGTTTTTACTGCCTCCCCCTTGGCTGGGCTGGCTGCACCCCCTTTGCTTTTCTTTTTGTTTTTGTTTTTTTATTTCTTTTGTATGCATCTTTAGGAAAAGAAATAAGGAAAATATTGAAAAAAAAACAAGAGAATGTTAAGAGAAAATATTGAAAAAAAAGAAGAAAAATAGAGTGAAAAAGAATACATAAAAAAAAATGTTGAAAAGAATAAAGAATAGAAAAATAGAGTGAAAAGAATATGTGAAAAAAAATAGTGAAGTATGAAGATGAAAAAAAAACGGAGAAAAAGGAGTATAAAAATATTACTTTGTAGATTCAATATTTTTTAGAATAAATATTTTCTTCATAGGAGTTTATTTTACCTTTTTAGAGGTAGTTTTAGAAGTCCACTTGTTAGGGGACTATTTTCCATTTGATTTTTTATAGGATAGGTTTTTAGGAGTTTATTTTTTCAGTTCTCAATCATTGTAACCATTTTTCAGAATATCAATAAAACGAGATTTGAGCTTTGTTCTGAAAGTAGCCGAACTACAACTGCTCTGATTTCTCGCACCAGACGAGGATATGTAGGCATAGGATGCGATATCCTAGCGAGCACACTAACAACTAACCTTTTGTTCTCTCGCTGCTGTGCGATCGAGACTTTCCCGCTGACGACTGATTGTTATCCTTTTCTCTTGCCCGAGTGCATTTGAGACCAGACCGTAGTTTTTCACATAGGTTCCCGTACCTTTAAAACCAGATTAATTTCTCACTTCCTGTGTGTGAGAACACCCTGCTTAGCCGTAGTTAGCCTGAACTACGAAAGCTCTGATCTTCCATGCTGTGTGGAAGTACGTAGGCACAAGACACGAAGTCTTGGCGAGCCAATTCCCCGTAGTCCCGAACTACGTTGACTCTGACTTTCTCTCTTGAGAATACGTAGGCATAGAGTGCGACGCTCTATCGAGTCAATTCCCTTCCGTTTAGATTTAGCAGCCGTAGATAGATTGTTTTTGCATCCTTTAGACAACCCAAGCAAGCGTGGATCCCGTCGAGTACGACGGACGTGAGGGGTGCTAATACCTTCCCCTTGCGTAACCGACTCCCGAACCCAGGTTTTGGTTGCAACGACCATACCTTTCCCGTTTT